GGGGCCCTTCTCAAGTGGTTTTCCGCGGGGGCGCTTTGGTGTCATTCCTCTCGCTGTGTGTGGAGGTCACAAAGGAAAACCCCAAACCTCCTGCTCAGCAGTGGTGGGAAAGTGCTACTGAAAGCAGGGAACTCCCCACATCCACAGGGAACCCCACTCCCAGGGAGACTCACGTCACTGCCATGGGGCTGGAGAGCTCAGGGCATGTTCCACCCTCAAGCCACAGCCCAAACCTGCACGGCCCCTTGCCAAGGAAAGCAGGGGCACTTTCCTTCCTATGGAATTCCCTCAGTCACAGTCCAGTAGGAAAACCAGGCCACAAGCTTTTCCTCAGAGCAGCTGTGGATTTACTATGGAATCACTTACAGGGAAGGGAAAAGGATGCTCCATTTGCTACTGGTGCTACCCAAAGCTCTTCCTACAGCTGTGATCCTGTTCTCCTTGTCCTAAATATGATCCATCAGCCCTTTCTCCTCCACTTTTAGCCATTGAAACAACTGTTTGTGTTAAGTCAGCAGTTCTACCCCACAACCATTCCAAGCCTCCATTCCGCAGCAGGGAACACAGCACTGTGTACATTCTTTCACCCCAAACCAGACTTTGCTTTGTCACACCATGTTTATACCCCTTGTAAGGACGCCCCAGACACAGCTGCCCCCATGTGGAGGGTGTGGTGGTTCCCGTGAAGACATTTTCCCTGCTTTCTGCATTCCTTCGTGAAATTCTGTTCTGGGGAAAGGCAGCTGAACACACCCCTGAGGGCTCTGAGCCAGAAGCATCATGGACAGCACAGCCACGTGTAAATAAGAATTTTCCAGGCCTGGATGGCACACATCTCCCACCACTCTGGTTCAACACCTCTTTCAGTGCCCACACAAGACCTCCCAGCATCCCCTATGGGAAAGGTGGATAAGGAGCCAGCTTAGTGCATTTGACCACATGTTGTAACAGAAATGCCAGAAAACTCCCTGAAATACAAAGGGGACTTATTTCAAACGAAGGGTCCCTGTGAAACGCAGAATTCAAAAAGCACTCGGGATTTTCACAGCACAGGTTGTCATCAAGTGCATCACTTCTGCCTGCTGAGAATACTTAATAAATCGAATACTTAATAAATCCCTTGGTGCTTGACTTTTGCTTCCTTGTTCATCAAAAATGAGCTGTAGCCAATTCCCAGACTGTAAAATACCATCCTTGGCCTGTTACAATGGCTGCAACAGGGCAGCTCCCCTGTCAGACACAGATCCAGGGCCTGGGGAAAAGCACAGGGACAGGGCAAACGCACTGACACCTCCCTGCAGCTCCCAGCGAGCCAGGGTGCAGCAGCTTCCCAAGCCAGAGGCAGCAGCTCACATTCAGTAACCCCCAAGGGCATTTCCTTCTCACCTTGACTTTCTGCACTCACAGAAGTTTCCAGGGCTGGGGCAGGAAGCATCCCATGGCACGGTGGCACGAGGCGGGACAGCAGCACCTCCTGCTTGTGCCACACCCACCTCTGGAAAACTCCCCTTGAGGTGAACTCTCACACTGGAAGAAACCCTGAGGAGCTGCTTCAAACCCCGAGTGAGTGCTTCGTGCTCACCTCCTCCATTCAACTCCTGATTTTCCAGCACTCCCAATCCTCCTCCACATCCCCCTCATCTTTTCCCTTCTGCCAGATCACAGTCCCTCCTACTCACATGCTCTTCCCACAGTAGCCACTTGGTTCCTTTATTAATCCTGCTGCTCTTCCCTACCTTTTCCAGCTCTTGCCTCATTCTAGGACAGTAGAATAGCCCAGAAATACGGGTGCATTGGGGGTGCACACAGCAGCAGGATTTCCTAATAATTTCCTTATCATTCCTAACATACAATTTACTTTTTTGGGGCAATCCTGCTGAACAGTGTTGATATTGTACCACACACCCACGGAGTGTCTGAGTACCAACAGTCACCTCAGGGCCTGTTACTGCAGAAGGATGAGGGATTTTTTCTGTCTGCACTGCCTGATTTTTATCTGTATGAATTTTATCACTCACCAGATCATCCAGTCAATCAGCAATTCAAGGTCTCCCTACAAACCAGCGTCACTTTATTACCCCAAATAACTCGGTACCATTGGCAAACTCTGTCTTCTCCTGGCAGCTTAGTCTTCCTTAACTAATTGCTAAAATCTAGGACATTTTTCTCCTGCCTGTTGCCACCAGGACATCCACCCGTGGCCTCAAGACTTCCACCAGCAATTTATCACCTACATCAAAGCCCAATTCATTTTGTAAACAGGTTATTCCTCAAAGTTTACTATCCTAGAAAATACTATCTCATACCTCTCCTTTAAGTTGGCCTTTTCCTTAGGGATCCTGTCCAGAGTGTGGCATCAACTCTACCAGCCTCAAATATTCTATCCTCCCAAATAGTAAAACAAAATCCAGAGAGCTTTTTTTTCAAACACTGTTCCCACAAAACAAGTTGCAGACAAAGTTTTAGGTGCATTGAAAACTCAAATATGTTCCATTCAAGTGAATTTTCAAGGAGAAATCCAGTTTCTCAGAAGGAATTGTGACTTTTAGGGACAGAGATGCTGTTCTTGAGCTCTGCTGTGCCTTCAGCACCCACCTGACGTGGTGTTTAGAGAAATACTGGTCTCGGGAAGCTCTGAAGAGACATTTTCAGAGCAGATTGAGAAAACAGCTGCAGGACTTATGCAAAAGGCTCAGCAGATATTGCAAAACCTTCTCCTTGTGCCTTAGACAGTCACTTGTGTCACCATGGGAGCCACCAGCTCTACTCCTTTGGTTCCTTTCCACCTTCACTGCAGTTTTCTGCTTGCCTTTTCCACACATGAAAAAGTTCAAAACAAACCAAAAAACGGTCCCAGGAAAAAAGTCCTAACAAGGACAACGTTGCTGCAGGAAGCTTAAATTACAGCTGAGACCAAGAGCAAAGCCCTGATCATGTGCTTCCCTTCATGTGCCACCCTGCAAGCAGACCATGTCAAACTATGGCAGGGGGGGGAAAGAAAGAAACTGTTTTTTCTGACAGTGCATTTTCTTCCCTTTAAAGGGAAAAACCCCAGCACACAGGGCTGGAATCTCACTGTAACTCCAGGTTTGGGGGTGCCCTGACCCAGCCTGTGCATCCTTGCACAAGAACAGCTCCAGTGACTCAGTGCAGGAGCATCACAGTCTCCAGCAGGACTTCCCAGGGCAGCAGGGCACTTCGAAAGGGAATTGCTGATATTCCTTCCTCTACCATAGTCTGGAAGTGCCTCTTTTGGGTGCACAGAGGACCCCAGGGAGCTCAGGGACAGGAGTAAAGATGGCTTTTCTGTATTTACATACTTGTGATGCGAGGAGGTAAGATCACCTCCACCTTCTTCCAACACAAATCCAGGACAAGCTGCCTGAGCTTCCGCCAACGCCCCAGGCAGCCCTGTCTTTGCCACAGGAACATCAGACAGAAAGAAGCTGTGGACTCACCTTGGGGATTTTGGCAAACCTCCCCACTCGGGTGTCTCGGATGCTGGTGATATCCAGAATTTCCATTTCCTACAAGAGAGCAAGGACAAGGAAAATAAGGAAGGGCAAAGGAGGAGGGAAAGCACTCCATCCCAGAGCCCCCAGAAGCTGCAAGGCAAGTCTGAGCCAGTGCTTTTCCCGGCAGAAAAGCTGTCCCAGCAGGAACAGGGCAGGGAGGGAAGCAATTCCCATGGAAGACTCTCCACAGCCTTCCCCAGGCAGCCCCTCCACATCTCCACTACTGGCTTGTTGTCATGTCCTTGTTTGTTCTTTTAATATCCAACCTGAATTTCCTTCCTCTGTTACTAATTTTTCTTCTCACTGTGGGTCTGGAGAACAAATTATACTTGTTGCAGCAGATAATATTATTTTCCAAGATCCCAACACGGAACAATGTGGATACCATGTCTTCTGGCTGTATCCCCATTTTATTGTTCAGCAGGACGGGAATTTTACTCCTAATCCCAACTCCTTTCTGAATCCCTAGTGCAAAAGCAGTTCACTTGACTTTAGGAGTTAATCAAAAGCATTTTCCAGGAATGTGAGACCCCCCCCCCCAAGTCTGGGTTCCCTCGTGGCAGCTTTCCCCCGTTCCCCCAGCCCTTTCCCAGGTATCCCACTGAGATATCTCCCTTTTCATGGTGACACCAGCTCCCTTTGCCTCACTTTGTGCTCCACTTCTCCCTGCTGGAACCCTTACAACAGAAATTCTACCGCCTGGAGTGGACCTCGAAAGGTGGATAGGAGTGACAGAGACACCTGAGGGGTGTGACAGTCCCCAGCCCTGTGACACTGCTCTGGAGGACACGGCTCTGGCAGTGCCTGGCCCAGCTGGCACTGGGCACAACCTCCTGGAAAGACAGAGCTCCCCCAAGCCCCTCAGATCCCTGGTCAGGGCCTGTGCAGGACAGTCTCTGCCTCTGCATCTGCCTCAGCATGTAGGTCAGGGGGAGGAAGTGGAGCTGAACCACAGCCCTGCTCTGGAAAGCAGAAGTGAGCCCAGCCTTCCACCAGAGCTCCCCACCACTCGCTGCTGCTCCTCAGTGAGGAACTGAACTCTTCCCTCGTGCTGCCTCTCCCTCCCCTGCAGCAGCTGTGGCCCCTGCTCTGCTCTGGCGGTGAGGACACAGAGCCCTGGGCACTCCCCGCCCTCCACACTGCACGTGGGCACCACAGCACCACGGTCACTGCTCTGGGCTTTTTAATTACAATGTCTAAAGCCCCAGTGAGTCAGTTAATGGACCACTGTCCAGGCTGGGAGAACCCTCTGGGTGACAGGGATATCGACACGACTGTTCTCCACGAAGCCCTTTGATGGAGACCCAAGGAGCTTTGCAGGAGTGAGATGCCAGTGTGTGACAGGTAGGGAAAGGCCACGCTCACAGCCTCACCTCCTGCTCTGTCCTGGCACTGGGAAGACAAACCTGGCACGGAATAACTCCCACCCCTGTGGGGTGTTCCTGCTCAGAGGAATGGCTGTGGCACTTTGTTCCCGAGTGCAGGACTCAGAACTTGTGGTGTTTTCATCTCACACAGACCTGACAGGCTGTTTGGAGCCCAAGGGGTGCAGTGTCAGAGCTCACCTTGTTCTGATGGGTCCAGTACACGTAAAAGCCCTTCGGATCCACTCGGAGAATCACGGGAGAAGCACTTGCTGTTTCCTGATCAAAAAAAAAAAAAACCACAGGAAGAAGGTTGGCACCTGGGATGAACTGGAGAACCCACCATGGGACACGAGGTTCCCAGTGCAAATACAGCCCCAAGGACTGGCTGTGCACACACTGTGAAAGAAGCAGCTGTGGAGACACCCACAAGATAAGATCCATTCCCATCTCCTGTGCAAGCCTGTGCTAAGAGAAGAATCAGTGTGAGCTCTTTGGAGACAGGGATGAGGATTCCTGGTGCCTCTGAGCGTCCCAGCCCCTTCACTCATTGTAGAAGACTCCTTACTGCACTTGCCCTCTGGTGCCACACAAGACAGGATCATAAGGCCTCTCAGCCATTTCTGGGAAGGCTCCAAATTCAATTCATGAAGCTGAAACACCCAGCTGCTGAGATGAAACCAGTAATGAAATCTGGCATTGTACCTGCCACTTGGGTTTGTCAGTTTTTCACTGAACTCATTCTTCACTCTAGAGTGCATCTCTATTTCCAGTTCCAGATCCAATATCTTTGTTATGATGAGCTGCTCATTGCACAGTGCATCACATGTGCTCCTCTTACTCCCTG